GCTGACCCGGTCTCTTGGGCCCTCTGCATCAAAATTTGCCGCTTCTGCTTCGCCGTCAGATGCATTTCTTCGGTCAAATCCCTACCATTCGTCGGTCAATGTCAGAATAAGCACGAAATCCCTCACATTTGTTGGAAAACGTCAGATTAAGTACAGAATCCCTCACAGTCGTTGGTCAATGTCAAAATAACCTCGTCGATGTGCAAAACAGTCGGCAACAAGCGCCTCGCAGAACCGAGTGACCTCAATGTCAGCAGATTACGACTCAGTCGAAAAATAAAAGAGTTCAAAATGTCTGCATTTATCAGGACGTCGCAACTTCGGAGGAAGGTGGCGGTTGAGTTGACTCTAAAGGACTCTGAAGTCACCTCATGTTAACGGCAAATCTGGAAGAAGGCCTGCATTATCCACATTGGAAACAACGTCGCAACGTCGGACGAGGCGAGAAAATCGTCCCAGACCTTAAAAAATGTCGCAACAATGCTGGGTACTGTTCGGTGACCCCTAACGTTTCTAAGCTACAGCTCCTAGGGTTTCAAACTACACGGCGAAGCTAAAAAGATGCGACCAAGAGCGGACAAAAGTTATCGATACAGATAGCTTCAACTACTAGGAGATGTAATCACTCCTTCGAATGTCAAACATGCGCTACTAACTCGTAACTAGACGCAGCTAATCTGTAACCATCACTACGAGCTCGGAAAACCCGAAACTGAAAACGCCACCGCATCAAGAAACGCTACGTGCATGCTCAAGCACCAGGCACACTCCGTGCTTCCTCCTAAAAATATCATGTAATTAGTAGAGATGTATGCGATTCTTTCCTGAAAATACAGCAGTCGGCTTGGAAACAGAAGGTAGAGAAAGCCCGGCTCGTAACTAAGTGTTTCAATTAGCACGGCGAGTCGCGAAATGGAGGCTACGGTGAAGGCGCGACGCAGCCAAAAGCGGCGGAGGTGGAGCGAATGAATAAACCAGGAAGTAGAAAGGCCCGCATGGCATGGCTGTGCCAAGTTGCTAGGCACGGGAAACGGTGAAAAGCAAGAATGAGCTGACCTGACCACCAGCACGAATGGGTGCGTGCGGTGGTGCGGCGGAGGGAGGGGCTGGCTGGTCGGGAGAATGGTTGCAGAGGGAGGGTGCCCCAGCAACTGCAGCAGCTACTGCAGGGACAGCGGGGGGGGGGATGAGTGAGAGATATGCGGGTGACGGTGGGTGGCTTGGTTGGTGCCTTGGCGGGAGAAAAGGTTATGTGTGGTTGGGTTGGGTGCAGTGCAGCCCAGATTGCTTTGCTTGCCTCTTCCTGTACCTTGCGTGCCTATGCACTTGTGTGGGTGCATGCCTGCTGCGTGTCCCTCCCGTCCCGTCCCGTCCCGTACACATGATGCCCGGTTGAGCCCCCCAACTTTGGCCTACCCCATGTGCGTATAAGTGATTCTGCATTTCGCGGTGGTTTCGTCAATTCGCGTCGGGCAAAAAGGGCTTATATAAAAATTTTGTAACTCACCGTTGACTGTTTGACTGCAGTCTCATCAGTCAGACTTCCGTTTCTGTGGCTCTTATTGGTCGACGTGCTTGTAACGTAGGTGCAACTTCGCGCCAAGAAACCCACGGGTGCAAGGTTTCGGGAACGTGCAAGGCAATTTCGCGTGCACGGGTTGTACCTATCGTTTTTGACCCTAGGAACGTCGCATGATGGATGGGTGACAGGACTGAATTGATTGCTCCCGTCTGGATTTCACCTTGAGCTTTGTGGGTGGGTGCTTGTCGTGTCGTGTCGTGTCGTGTCCAGGGCTATTGCTAGGATTTTTGCTAGCTCGGACGATCCGGGCCCCTGTGAAAAAGACCCTGTAAAATCCGAGCCAGCGGAAAAAAAACCTTGACGAATCCGGGTTCGAGCCAGAAAAGGCCTGAAAACATGCATTACCAGAATTTCGCGGGAAACTCACAGTGGGTTGCACGAGGGCTGGGGAGATTGGAGATGGAGTGGCTCTGGAGGGGTGAGCGAGATACTTATTGTAGACTTCGAAAAAAATACGATGAGGAAGAGTACATAGGGAGAACAGGGCAATCAGACACTCTCTCCTTATTGGCCTTCTAAGCCATGTCGACGTAGAACAGGGCAATCAGACACTTGGAGGCCAACAAGGAGAGAGTGGTTAGGAAATTCACTAAAAGTGGCCCACGTGTGTTTAGAGGGAGACGGAGAGGAATGCAAGGCAGGTCGGGGAGAACATGTCTGCTAAAATTATACGGGTCCCCTTGAGAACTCCCCGGAGAGATCCGAGCTGACTCAATAATCACCCTTCAGTTTTACGGGCTGGTCCGAAAAAAACCTTGTGAAAATCAGGGCTCCTTGAAAAAACACCCTATAATTTCAGTCAAAACAGGGTAATTGCCCTGATAACTTAGGGATGATATACCTCAGCGGACGAAAAATGCTGCCCAATTTCGCGGTTCAAAAGATACAAGGCCCCCCCTCGGGATTGACGACCTCCCG